TTGCATGTAAACAAACGGTTTAGAACATATATACATACGTACAGCTGCTTGTGATTGGCACTTGGCAAGCTAGAGAGAGAACGACGATCCTCTCCTGCTGTCTTATTCAGCCAATCACAAGCAGCTATACGTATGTATATATGTTCTAAACCGTTTGTTTACATGCAAGAAATTTTGCCTTATTTTGGCTAGAGGGGGCGCAACTTCTGCATCGGCTCGGAGCGAATATAGCCGACATTTCCACTCCTCTCCTCGTAGGCGCACATTCGGTATACCCCTTCCACGCGTCTCCAAAATGTGCGCCTATATGGACATTTCCACGCGAATCCACTCTTCTCATACCCCTACCGTGCTGCTCAAATAAAAAAAAAATGTGCGCCTGGTTCGGCCGCTTGGCCGCGGCGGGGCGCTCGAACCACTGGAAAAAAGTGGGCACACTCCGTAGCATGGCAGTCAGCAATCTCCCTACTAATCTCTGCTTTAGTGTGTAGAGACCTTTATGTATACGTTTGACTGCATGACATAACCTACACCAAGTTAATTAACAGACATCATCTACTGTTTGCAGTTCAGTTGCATTTCTTAGTTTTTAATTTTGCGATTGTGATGACATTTTTAGGCTATAAATGTTAACAATCTTAAATATGATTGGGTGTATAGAATTAAGCTGCAATTATCCATTCCTTCAAATTTTTCGTCATTAATTGGGACTTTGTTAAATATCACATGTTATCAATTTTGAGTGTTTTAAAGAATCTCAAGTGCCAAAACCTTTCAAAACTTAATCATGACCCTCATCAAGTACTTTGGTGTATTATTTTGGGCTGCAACAGCTATAGTTTGTGGCCTATTTCTCTTTACTAATGGTTTTTTCCTGTGTAAAAATACCATAATACAACTGAATAACTGCTCCTTGGCTGTCACTCAGTCATTTAATTTTGAAAACCCCCTAATTGCTAGCACTACATGTCTGAAGCCACCAGCACGTATCATAGTATTAATTATTGATGCTTTGAAGTATGAATTTACTTTAAATTTTAGTCATGAAGAAGCTGCAGGCACTTACCATAGGAACAAACTCCCCATTTTTAGTGAAATTTTACAAAAATATCCCAAAAACTCAAAGCTCTTTAAATTTGTAGCAGATCCACCAACGACTACAATGCAAAGGTTGAAAGCCTTAACAACTGGAACCTTGCCAACTTTTATAGATATTAATAAGAATTTTGCAGCAGATGCAATAGAAGAAGATAACTTTATTGTTCAAAATGAAGCAAATGGAAATGTTGTCATAGGAGATAGCACATGGAGTGATTTATATCCAGGGAAGTTTCTTAGAGATCATACTGTATATTCTTTTGATGTGTCAGATCTTGACACTGTAGACAAAAGTGTTGAGAAGCACGTTTTCAAAGAAATAAAAAATAATGATTGGAAACTCATGATAGCTCATACATTAGGGATCGATCATTGCGGACACACATATGGAATGAATCATCCGCAAATGTTAAGAAAGCTGAATGAGACCAACATTCTTGTTCAAAATTTGATCAATGAAATAAACAAAGACGAGGAAAATACAGTATTGTTCATCATGGGTGATCATGGAATGACTAAAAGTGGAGATCACGGTGGTGAAAGTTCAGATGAAACTGATGCAGCCTTGTTCGTATATTCTACGTTACCACTTGTAAGTCCACGCACAAGTTTAAATGTTGCATTGACATCGACTGTTAATCAAGTTGACATTGTTCCCACGGTGTCAGTTATTTTAGGCATACCTATTCCATTTTCAAATGTAGGGAAAGTTATTATTGAAGCGCTGCCTACTGAGGAAGCAACTATGAGTAAAAAGTCATTTAATTTCATTTTACATTCTTTATGGAGAAATGTTGTTCAAGTACAAAATTATTTAATCACTTACTCTATTGAAAACTCTTTCTCTGCCCAAGACCAACTAGAAAAAATTAATGGGATTTACAGTGAACTTTTACAACGAGTACCACTTGTCAAATTTGAGAAAGACTTGAAAGACTTTATTAACATAGCCAATGAATATTTTTTTACAGTAAGAAAAGTTTGCCTCAAAGAATGGGTACAATTTGATAACAATTTAATGGCTAGAGGAATGCTTGTGATGTTTTTCTCTTTATTCTCACTATTTATAATAATAACTGGATTAATTAGAGAACGAATTCACTCAGTCTTACATTCTTCATTTTTAATGCATTTGTTTGTCATAGTAATGATGAGTTTAGTAATAAATGTGATATTGTACTATGTACAAATTGTAAGTCACTTCCAAAACTCTTTACTTTTCACTTGCGGCTTGTCATTGATTGTTTGTTTCGCAATTTTATCCATTAAAAACTGGGATTGTATATCTGATTCGTGGTATGAACAATCCAGGCGCAAAGAAATTGTTGATTTTCTCTCAAGGTTGGTATTTTTAGTTAGTGCTTTTGGAGTTTTTTCAAATAGCTATATCCTCGAAGAGAATAAAATCATGTTGTTTTTTGTTATCACGCTGTTTTGTCTTTTTTTTTACTCCATACATAGTAAGAGCTTAACAGACAGTATTGAAAAAAAAGGAAAGGAACAGAGTAAGAAAACTTCTTTTAAATCTATGTCATATCTTCTAGTCTTGATTGTATGTATTCTTATTAGAATGTCCAAATTTTATTGGCGGTATAGACCAGAAGATATAAGTAGAATGAAACAGAATGAATTAAACAATACCCAATATATTATTGGAAAAATGGGATCTATGACTTCACAACAGGAAGAAATTTATTTTGCAGTAACTGCAATAGTTTTATCGGTAATATATTACATTATGTTTAAGTTGTGGCTTCAAAAATGTGGTAATTTATCAGGGCATTCTCCAGGTGTCATCCTCAATAAGTATTTAACAAGAATTGTATTGGTAGTTACTTCTTGTTATTGGATATTGAGATTAAAAGTATGTGATAAATTGAAACTAAAGAATCTCAATTCTTTTCCAATTTTAATTTATATAGTTGTGAGTAGTGCTCTATGTGTAATATTTTGTTGGCCGTTATCAGTTTTCTTAGTTTCAAGAGAAAATGAAGTTAAAATAAGAACGGAAGAGGCTACAGTACCAAAACTATATGAAAAGTTTAAAAATACTCTTTACGTAAAAAAGAACGAAGAAAAAAAAGAAACTCCAATAGTTTACGGGCTGGGAACTGTATACAGTGCATGTTTTATTTCAGTTGGCATGTTTTTATGCCTTTTGTACATACTCTTACTAGGATTTCTAATTGCTCCAAGTGTCATTATAATGAACATGGTTTGCGTTATACTGTTATATGTCAGCGCTATGGATCGAATTCATTATGCAAAAAGTTTAGGTAAGTGAACTACAATCGATTGAATCTTCGATTCAAAATTTTTTCAATTAATTTGTTTTTTCATCACGCATTTTTTGTAGAAGAACTGATTCGTGTTCCCAATATGGTAATATTATGTTGGTTTCTCATAGCTGAGTACTTTTTCTTTGCCACTGGCCATCAAGCAACGTTTTCGTCGATTCACTGGGATTCCGGTTTCATCGGGATTGACGGGTCATTATCATCAGTAATGTTCCTCCGAGCAGTACTTATAAGTTAGTAAACATTTATTATCTTGATGGTTTTTTATACACTTGAGGTCTTATGTGCTTGTTTTGAAATTTTCAGCAATCAATACGTTTGGTTCATACATAATTTTAGGAGTGATGCTTCCTCTTCTGGTAATTGCTCCCCTTACAATGCGATTTGTTTTCCCAAATTTTACGAGAGCGAGTAAGACTTCGTTAATAGATGTTAAAAGAGGTGAACTATTGCTTTTTCACAATAGTGCTCTCTTCCACGCTGAAATGTTTTCTGTCTGTGGAAAATACATCTTATTTCACGCATTTAAGGCAAGAAAAATTATAAAATTAATATTAAATAATTTATCTCAAGTATAAATAGTTTTATTAAACGTAACTTAAAAATTTTATTTTCTCAGGTGTTTGTTTGCATGCTAGCCGTCACTCTACATAGCCGTCATCTGATGGTGTGGGCTATTTTTGCTCCAAAATTTATATTCACAGGAATAAGTTTTCTCGTTACGCTTGGCAGTATTCTGACATCACAGTTATTACTATTAAGGATCGAAAATAGTATTGAACAATTTTATTCTAAAATCTCGTAACTATAAGACATTAAAAAAAAAGCCCTTATGATAGTCACTCTTTAGGTTGATCACCCTTTTTAGATCTGATTTTGATTGATTCAAATGTATCTAGTTTAATTTAGTCCAATTTAATATAATGTAATTTAATCAAATTTATAATAGACCATTGTTATGCGCTGAAAAAATCAAATACATATTTTTATGTACATGATGTGACCATAATTTTTGATACATTATAAGGTTAATATGAGCAATAATTGCAATTGATTAATATAATCGAGTGCTGACATTTTATAAATTTATATAATAAAACGCAATGACGCCAATTATTGTGGTCTTTAATTATAAGTGTGTGTGTGTATTCACCAAGAAGTAATTAGACATCATTTAAAATTTTCGGTTGCCAATAGTAGTTTTCTTACCTGGTGGCGCACGTCTCGAGGGCAAGCTCCAGACCTGAGGGACTCCTCCAGGTGCGTACTGTATTTTTCTCACTGAGGACGCACTAAACGTCCAAATGTTAAAAAAAAACACCTAAAATAGAAAAATTCATTTTTCTTACCACGGGAGGACAGCGATTATCCAAATATGGGCATGAAGTACGATTCTGTGCCCTCGGAAAGAGAAACTTGAGCGAGATGTTTTTACTTTGCGCCCATCGTACGGAAATAGATATTTAATTAGGATATTTGAAGAATAGTATTTGGGGGAACTGTCGGAAAAGAAGAAAGCAAATTACTTTACGCTTGGTCAGGTACCTATAAAAAAGATACTTATACTTTTTGCCTCGAGTAAACTGTGGGACTAGCTTATGAAATAGCATTACATGTGATATACCAGTAGAAAGAAAGCTTGATTTTAATTTTTTTTTAACCTTTAATTGTATGCAACTCTGGACATGCACTCTTTCTTTAAATCAAAAGTGACCTTTTATATCAATGTACAAATGGGACATTTCACCAAAAATTTCGATATTTTCGCGCTCTTACCAAGATTATTAAACTCATTGTTTAGAATTTTTCAATTATTTTTTCCAAGTTATATGAGATTCAAACTAGTCGAAAACTTTTGGGCCTGACTCCACCGTCATGATTTGAAAATCTATGTTGATTTAAATGCAATTTTTTTTTAATTTTTAAAGAGCGTTACGGTACTTTTTTGCGATCGTGAAGCCTCAAGTCGAAATTTCTCATCGAAATGTTGTTTGTCACATCTGCTTACTAGACCCTTTCGTAACGAAATATTCAGATTTGGGTCTGAAAAAAAATTGACAGTTCTCATACGTTCCGAAACACAAAATAATAAATTTCCAGAGTCTAAAAATTAATCGCTTTATCAAATAAAATCATTTGTGGCGCGCAAATTCAAAAGTGTCAAAAGTATAGGCTTCATGAATAAAACGTCCCATATTTGAAAAAAACATTTTTTGTTCGTTGCAAACTATTAAAAAAGATGCTCGACCCCTCATATTTTTAAATAGTACATCGTAATAAAATTTAAAAATCAACGTCTAGGCACCAAAAGCCGCAAGAAATAAAAATTTTTATTTTTAAATGCTTCGCGTTGATATTTGGGCCTGTTTTTTCAATCTTACGGTCACGCAAAAAAATTTTTTGACCTGATCTTGAAAACGTTTGTAGAAACAATTCGCTCACACCGTTTAAAAAAAGTTGACTTGAAAAAATTTAATCCGTCGTTTTTAAACATAGGCTTCATGGATTCATGGAATATCGCAGTTTTCGTGAAATGACAATTGAAAAAAAATTGAATTTTATCATCCTTTTTCACAACTTTGGATTTTGGTCAGTGAAAATGATGAATACTTAATTGTAAAAAATTAAAGAATACAAAGTAAATAAAAACTATTTCAAAAGATGACAAGCAAAAAATTAAGAGAAAATATTCTACTTTGTTTAATTTACAAATACTTACGATTAATAATATGATAAGTGGTTTTTAAGTTGTACTTGAAGTTGTAAAAATGCGAGACAAAATTAGTTTTGGGAAAAATTGAATACAGTAAATATCGTACAATGTATTAAAACATTTATTGAAAAATTGTTGTGATAGCAACGTAAGTATGTATATATATACCCTAATATACATGTATACAAAACGTCGAACTTATCGTTGAGTATATTTTTAATGGAAAATATTACATGATGAAACTCAGTTTCAAACTAGGACACTCTATTTTCAGTTATTTCCTTTTTCTATAGTCTTACTGTAATAGCCACTAACTATATAAAGTTACATTTTGATAAATTAATCGATGTACTTACAGTAAGGACAAACGTTTACTCGTCTTATTGAACACTCAGATTAGATAAAATATATTACAATCTTATACTTGGAGCACTAAATCCATCGCAAGAGATATAGTCAATCGATTTTAACAAACAGTAATAAATAGTATATTTATCATGACCCAATAAAGAAAAAAACCATATGGATCGATATGGATTTTTTAAATTGGGGATGAACACAAAATAACAAAAGTAACCAAAAATTGTGTTTTACCAATTAGATGTAGGTATTGTACTCTACATTTCTAATAATAAGACAAACACCTACTGATTTCGTTTGCAATTTGAAGTCGCATGGACAGTAATTTTAATACAAATATATAGTTAAACATGTGAAATAACGTTTCAAATAAACCTTTGTAATATATTCAAATGACACAGCGTTGTCTTTCATTCTAAAAGTCTATAAGATACATTACACAATTTTTTTCATTGGACTTTCTTCGCAACTCACTATTGCAAAATTTGTAGTGTTTTCATTTTCCACTGGCATTCTAGCCCAAACAATGCGACGGGGGCTCTTATATTGCTACAGAAAATTTTTTTTTCAGTGAATTTAAAAGCAAGCAATCTTTCACACTATAAAATGATATTAAAGTGTTATGTCTACATCTATACACTGACATAGTTTATAACTTCATGGTTTCCAACTGTTTGGAATACATTTTTTCGGCTATAATTTTTTAATGGAAACATGTAATAATTATCATTATTTTCATGTTGATAAACATGATTTTTAACACGTATATTAATTGGCACTATTACGTAATATAGTTGAACTCTCTTAGCAATTAATAAAGCATTATTGATTTTTAATTTGATTTGATTTTGAAACTTTTTAAAATCATCACAACTCGGTGTTTGTTTGAATAAATTCCAGCAGCATAAAATCAGACAAAATTAATTTATCGTTTCCCTTGTTACACAGAGAGAAAAAACTATTAAAATGATTGCACTACACTGGTAATCTGGTATTATTTCGCAGTCAAGGAACTTTATTTTTTTTGACATGTTAATTTCTAAGATGATCGACAGTCATTTCTACTGTTGGACCAAGAAACGAAGACCCGTAGTCTGGAAATTTCTTTCACCTCGAATTTTTGATGTACTTATTATGATTTCAAGTGCGCTGATTACGAAAAAAATGGTTAAAAAATTCCTAGTAAGTATACCGTAGTTCACTGCAAAAAACGCGTTTTCATGCAAATTTTTTCAAAAAATGCCTATATTTCGAAAACGGTAATGCGTATCAAATGAATTAAATACAGCACTAGTAGTTTTATTTAGACGAGCGTAATATTTTGAGTAAAACAGCTGAGAAGAAGATATTGCAAAATAGACGCGTCGCCAGACTTGAAGTGTGCGTATATTATATACTTATATGATATCGATACTCGTGCAATATCTTCTTCTCAGCTGTTTCTCTCAAAATTTTACGCTGATCAAAATAAAACGACTAGTGTTACTTATGCATTTTTCCCCGCTCTTTCGATTGGTGCAAGCCGTTTTTTGATACGCATTACCGTATTCGAAATATAGGTGTTTTTATCAAAAATTTGTATGATTATTTGCATTTTTTGCAATGAACTACGATACGAAGAATTTTTTTACCATTTTTTACGTGATCAGCGCACTCGAGAACGTAACATATCAAAAATTCGAGGTGAAAGAAATTTCCGGACTTCAGGCCTTCGTTTCTTGGTCTATGTGCATAGAGCAGCAATCCATTGTGCTTACAACGAAAATTACTGTAACAGTACAAAATCGTGTACAAATAAATGGCAGAATGATACCAATTTACCATTCCAGCACAGTCGTTTTTATTAGTTTTTTCTCTTAGAAAAGGTAAACACTTTTTCTAAGCAAGATATGCATGGGTTGTCTCTTGTTGCATCTTCCATAGCTACAAAAAATTATAGACCTTATCGTTGAATACCAAAAGGCTCTACGCTAACTGTATACGCTAGCTCTGAAAATTGTATAGTTTTATTTCATTAGATTTATTGAATTCCTCAATTAAACGAAAAACTGATAGTTTTGTATTCATCTGAACTTTGAAATGATCTCTACGTTTCTATGTACTTAAGGCAGTATATTTTTTACATCAATTACTGAAAATTTGTGGCATATCAATACTGCATGACATAATCAAATACTCACATTTCTGCTGACTAAAGATCTAGCTGGGAAAATCCAAATTTAAACACCGTAAAAAATTGTATGCTTAATTAATACGCTGAAACAAAAAATAATCTATTTGCTTATGTACCTATCAATAGCTGGTTTATTTTTAACAAAAAACTTTTAATACATTTTTTATCTCATATCTAAACTTACAAAGTTTTTTAACATTGTTACGTAAATAGTTGGTTCGTAAAACAATTTTTTTTTCAAATATCATTACTAATAGAGACATATACTACATCTAGGAATTATATGGATGTACTATCAAACAAGAAAAATTTGCTTATAGTTCACTCATGCTAAGTTGGACCGAGACCTTTCATGCTTTTCTTACAATTCAAGCACACTGAGCATTCAGCCTTATTTTAATCCCTCACAATTTTACAAATAGATTCAAAAATTTAATACTATATTATTAATTGAAACACTGATGCTTATGTAACAATATGGTTAATTATTTTTTTAACTAGTGTGATCTGTGTTCCAAAAAAGTATATACAAAAGTAGAAAAGTGAACAAAAAGGATTTTCAACAAAAAAAACCCTTGTTACTTTAATTTGTTTTTGTTTCATTTTAAATATTTCTATTTAAACCAGCAAAAACTATAAAGTAATGAAGTTTTACAAACATTTTTTGTGATCTAGGTGTGTGAAATTATTTTTTAAAGACGATAAAAATCATGAAGTGAAAATTCATTGTAACGGATTGCTTACATTCTTTGAGTTTCCATTGCGAAGAAAGTCTTAATAGTTTTACTATATAAATATTTATATATATCGGATATGACTATGTCCGCCCGTTGCCTGAGAAAGAAATATTCTAAAAACAATCAATCGAGTCTTTGGAATGGGGATTCGGATAAGGGGAAAACAGAAAGTAAATAAATTCAAATAAAAGTGTTTTGACATAACTTCATTCTCATAAAAATTAAAAATACGAAACTACTAAAAACAGCATACACTCCGTTCTGTACAATTTAAATGTTATAACATAATATACCTAACCTTAACTGATGCGTTAAAACGTTTACATTGGCAGTTTTGTTAGCCAAGACATGTAAGTGGTAATGACAATAATAACAATAATAATAGTTACAACGATAACCATAAGAATACTATTAGTATTAATAATAATCAACTAAGTTTTAAACTACAATTAATTTGCAAATCAGTCGTAGCTTGCACAAATTCGAGTAAACTTCACCTGATGCTTAACAGTTTCAGTGTGTACTATGAAATGGCGCGTTAAATTACACAAAGAATATGAACAATAACTTCCTGTTTGAGAACTCGTTGGAATCTTAACAGTAAAAAAAACTATCACTTACATTACATCAAATTTTTTGTTTATAGAGGTTTAAAATCTTTAACCAACAATTCAGAAATTATGTCTTGAAAATCAAATAGCTCTTATTCGCAGATATTCAAATCAGCTGTCCAAGAACTTTTAATTACCGCGACGTGAGTTGATCACAGTGTAGTCATGTACATGTTAGAATTTTAATCAATAAACGATTTAACCTTCAAATATATTAATTTACAGGTAATAACGTAACAATCAACTATAGCTCTATTTTCTCTCCAATCACGTAAATTTTATCTTGTAGTCAAGGTTCAAATTTAATTTGACAAATTGGAAATTTACACCAAATGACATTAAAAAGTTAAGAACAAATGTTATAGGCATCTCGATAAGCTTGAGTTTAAGTCCAAACTATGTATATTATTTTCAATACTGTGGATCAATAATAATTTTAAACGATATTTACTCAAGAGTTATCTTGAAATTTGGCAAACTGGGCTGGACGGAATCTACACATTTATTTACGCTTAAAATTAAATACAAAATTTGGCCAAGCTACATGTTGATCTATTATAATTTATGCTTTACATCCTTGTCCATTACACTTTTTTATCACTTCACGAATTTGAGAGTAAACTCTTATTTGTCTATTTGTAGTGTTGCAAGTCGCTTTGATTTTTTTTCACTATTTGAAAAACTGCTAAAATTCAACTCAGAGCTAGTTCATATCGGTATCACTATAATATTACCACTTTGATATAGTAAACTAATCAGTTAAATTAAAAAAAAATTACGTACGGTAAGAAAATTTGATGATAAAATAGAACAAGAATGACAAAAAAGCACAAATTATATGCCTTATACAGTAATAGATTAGATTTGGCACTTCTTACGATGTTTTCTCAAGTACGGAAATGTAAAAAAGAATTCTTTAACCACTTGATTATTTTTAAAGGTGAGTGTACTGGTACAATGTGATGTAGGCTTTTGGAAATGTGTTCTGGCTATGTATGTAGCGCTTTATGCTTAACATCATACTTCATCGGGGTTCAACGAATCGATGCGCACAGTCTTCAGCTAACAGATTACGAGACAAAAATGGCTAAAAGGGATTTTCTTCTTGAATACTTATGCTTCAATTTTTCAAACAAAGAAGCCCCCTGAGCTTGACTGCTGGCTGTTTTACGTATGTACATACACAAATCACACCGCTTCAACAAATAACTGTCATAATCACGAACCACTGGCTTCCTATAGACAACGAAAGCTTAAATAAAGTCACGCGCGTGCTCTTCATTTACTAACATTTCCGCAGGACTCTGAAAAATTACGCTCATGGTTGTAAGCAGCAACTAAATAAATGCTACATGTAATTACATTAAAACATCAATAATATAACAAATTAAAGGTTCCCGACACGTTTTGAATCGGTCGATATCGACAGTCGTTACCATAGAGGTTATTTCGACATGAGAAATTACTCAAGTTTTCATTAGGTCATAGGTTGATACACCACCTAACTAACAAAGCGTGTGTTCCATTGTAGTGAACAAAAAAATAAAATTAGCCGAGTAGTCTTCATGTTTTGGTCAATATTGTTTACTACAATCAAACACACGCCCCGTGAATTTAACATTTAATGACAGAAACTTGCGACAATTCATTTTTCGAGTACTCTCATATCCTTCTAAGGGGCTCTTTGTGAAATATTTTGAAGCTTTAACATTCAAACTTTCAAAAAATTCGAGGTAAAAAAGTGGCTTTCGTAGGCAATGTGATTCATAAAGATGTTTTGTTCTGCGGTTTCGTCAACTCTTGATTGGCGGAAACGGACATTCAAAAACCGTTTGAAGCAGGAAAAAAGTTTTGCAATACATTGGCTTAGTGACTAATGTGGTATGAGGTAATTTAGAAACCAAAACGTCTCGGAAGACTAGCCATATTACTTCTTTGTTATTGTCAACTTTTTCAATGGTGAATTGCACAAGCCACCTCCGAAACTTTGCGACGTAATATATGTTTCGTCAATCACTTATTCGATATGTGCGCTTCGGTCTAGCTTCGGCACGTCGCCCAAGATGTGTGCAATATTTTTTAAAAACACTGCACCAAGACATCAATCCAACCTGTGGGAGCTAGCTCCGTCTGTCTTTCTCGCTTCTACGGTGGTTGTAACGTTTACAATTTAACAGTGTTCACTTTCATTTGATATATTACAGCAACAGTATGACTCAGAGTCCCCAACTTTTGTTTACACGTTCATGAAGGTACATTCCATTAAATAATATTTGGAGCGACTAGTAATTTAAATTGATAAAAATGATCATTCAACCGGGAGCTGTATACATAATACACAATTTCGATGATAAAATACTTAGTAGAACTTACACAAACATTTGAAATACGGGACCTTCAAAAAAAAAAACTTTCTTAGTATTGGATAATACCTTCAAAATCACATACTCAAAGTTAGCGATGAAAAAATGCTTTTTCACGTCAGCTACCTTAGGGGTCTTATTTCATGCATTTTGAATGTCCGAAAATTAAATAATCTTCTTTCTTAGTATTCTAACTGCATTCTTCTACTTACGTCGGGTATGTTTGTTTCATAAATATTCACAAAAGCGTGTCTGACAAACGCCTAGTCGTTGCTTGATACCCCCCGAGTGTGGTGGTCTAAACGAGGCCTGACACAAATTGGAGCTGACCGTCATGATCCAAGGTCAACTGAGATAGTGTCGCTGGCTGGAACGTCGAACCTTGAAAGCCCATTGCAGACTCGTACATCTGAAATTTATGGTTTACTTTCGTTATATAAATAAATATCAGCTCAGTACTTTTTACGGCCTGTATGAACTTGTATCCTTATTTCTTATGTAATTAATTTCCCGAATTAGAAGAAACTGATCATGTTTTGTCTCTCTTTCTCAGATAAAAAACCTGAGAGAAAATACTGATTCAGCATTATCATTGGCTTGTAGCGTTCATATATTTAAAACTACTATACATACAAAAAGTAAAATAAAATAAATCTAAAGATAATCAGAATTTACTAATATCGTTCAAAAAATCAACTGATCGTTCGATTAAAAAAAAATTTACAACCATTTCCCGAACAAAAAAATATAAATCAAATTAATCTAATCTCCCGAAAAAAAAATAAACTTGGTGGAATGAGAGTATGAGTATCAAAAAATGGCAATCAGAGATATAATACTAAAGCCCTAGATATAATACTCCCTTATTGTAATATTATATTTTTTCTTAAGAAATTATATACAAAATATACTTATAATAGAATTTCATGAAATAATCAAGTCTTGTTTTGAAGATGTATAAAGAAAGATATTTGATAGACGTCGCATATAACATATTGATAATGTACACCAACTACAAAATTTACTAATTTTTCTTATTTGCGGGCGGGAATGTACTTTCCGCCCTAGGGCGGGAGGTTCCACTTTCCCGTGAAACAGGCACTGAAAGTACTTTCGGCCCTCACTTTCCGCCCGAAAGGAGGAAATAGTAGTTTTCCTACGAGTTTGAAAAGTCTCTGTTTGCGAACCGCGAGGTTTGCGGCCCGAGCCAAAGGCGAGGGACGTAACGAGGTTCGTGAAGGAGACTTTTTGAACGAGTTCCGGAAAACTGCTTTTTCGCCCGAGGAAGTAACAGCCTCCCAAAACCACCCGAGGACGGAAAAATACTTTTTTTAAACCTCAGATATTGTGTAACATTAACTAAGAAAATCAGTACTTTTATATAAAATCTACGTGGATCCCACGTATATTCTAGCAATGAATAAATAATGTATACTTCTTAGGGGTAAAAAGGAATAAATTTTTGCAGTAATTTTCATGTAAAACAGTTTTGTAGTTTTTAGTAACGAATGATTTTTAATTTTTATATTAGTTTTTCAAGTTTTTATTGTCATTCCTAAAAATCTAGTATAGATATGAATTACGGCAAATGCGCATGATCTAGAGGGAGCTAGCAAGATATTACATTATTGTAGCCTATTTTTTGTAGTTATTACATTCTTATAATCTACTTTCATTATTTGGTCATAAATACAATATGTAAAGGTAATTTCACAAAAACTGTGATATTTCTCAAGTTGGTGGTTTTTTCAAATTATTGATTAGATTATCATATTATATGAAAATGCCTGGCGACCATGTGCAAAATAAAATTTCGTGGCAAAATTTCTACTCGAGGCTTTAGAATTGTAAAATTAATAATATTACAGAATTAATGGCAGGCATAGACATAATACTTGTCTAAAATGTTTAAAGAAATTGTATCAAAGTTAAAATTGGATTTCGAAAAATGAACATAAAGTCGATCCCAGAAGCTTCTACCTTGTGCTACACGCGCGCACTTGTGTGTTTGAATGACTTTTGTGACTTTAACAGTTGCGAGCGGGAAAATTAATTGAAATTACTCGTGATAAGCACTGTTGTAGTGACTTACGTTGAGATTTCCAGGGAGAGTGGTGTAGTCAGGCGTCGATGAACGGTGCCTGCTGTTGGCCGGCAGTGGATGCTGTATCGTAGCGTAAGTATTGTCTTGGGATGTATCGCCCATCGCCAAACTCATGTTACTGCCGCGTCTTTCGGTGGCAAGCCCGGTTTCTGGCTCGCTGAATACTTGCATCGTCAATTCCTGTTCCTCGTACAGCTTCAGTTTTCTGAATCATCATAAAATGAAATTAATTTTGAATAACCTCATTACTTTCTTTTTTTCTCTTTTAGAAAAATGCCGAAGTTTGAGAACATTTCTAAAAATAACTAGTATAGAATTAAGTAATTTTGCAATTTTAATTACAATATGACCCTAAAAATGAGAAGTTTAGAGGCATTTTATTAAATTTCCCTAAACTTTTGTAGATTTTGATGAATTGATTTGTCAAGTTTAATAAGTACTGTATATAAAGATTTATTTTAAACAGACAAATATTTAAAATCTGATACTTTTTTCTAACAATGTATACACTTTTTACAAATTGTAAAATACTCACTTCGAATTACGAAACGAAATTTATTCATAAATTATATGAAAATTATTGTAAATAAACATATTAAACTTGTTCACTATTATACAGTTATACTTAAAAAACCTGAAACATTAAATTTTGGAGTTTAAAAGAAATTTGCATACCTATTCTAATGTTACGTCGGCGCGACGAATTATTTGAGTCCAAGATTTCGCCTAATGACTCGGGACACACGCTGGGCGCATAGGTAGGTGTGACGCGGAGCTAAACGGTAGTTCAATCAAACGATACGGTATTTGCAAAAGGGGCTACGACTGCTTTCACGCGACTAGGACCGACTACTGTGCAGTACCCCGATGCACTCACTCGCGGTAGCGGCGCGCCTAAGATTTGTCCATATTACCCGGAGCGGCGTACTGAATGGTGTTCCGTTCGCGATCTACAAACTACCAGTACCGTTACGAGTAAAGATATTGTTCTAGTTTTTACGCACAATTCAATAGATTATTTAATTTCCGTGGATCCTGGGGAAGCAATACTGTTGCGGGTAATGGTGTACGCGTTTGTTTAATTATTTCCCGGTATTTCACGGGTACCACTATTGTAGCGAGTAATGGTGTGCGCGTTGATCCTATGCCACACCGGAAGGAAAAGAAGAATTTAAAAAATAAAATAAATATTTTTAACGCTGATTTTTGTCTCAAAAGAAAACGCTTATACACGCGGCGAACCAGCTCGAGATGTCCGAAACTGAAATTGAACCACGCTCGTGAAGGACCGTATGGTAGCAGAGGCGGACTCTAACTACTCGGTCTACCGTTCGAGGGGTGAAAATAAAGTGGGAGCCTTTTCGGGGCCTCCAGGCCTTTTTAAAGGGAGTACCGGACCTCGGTCACACGCTGGCTTAAAAAGGATGCAGGAAATCTTGCCGAGGGAGAATCTTGAAAAAATGATAGTAGCCGAAAATCTAATTGGCTAGAGCTGCTCTAGTTCAGCTCCTCAGAAATTGGCACTTCCCATATCCGGCTCACTCTCCTCCATGCGCTAAGAGAAGGGAAGGTGATTCACTTGTTCATGCCCTGCCTTTCCCTTTTACATCCAAATTTTACAGATTTTCCATCGCAACTGAATATTCACAGTAAGATATAATATTATTAATATATATTAATGCTAGGCGCTGTTAGTTTATTCAATCGAATTTGTAGCAAAAAGAGCAGCGAAAATCGCTTAACATTTTGCTTGAATGCTCCGGTACCTACACGGTCGGTGTGTTACGTATATCAATTGGTATTAATAATAAAACATTAGTAACGGTGGCCGTTGCTGTAATACTTATAGTTATATTATTGCTATAGTGCTTGTATTAGTAATAATAACAATAATAATAATAACAATAATGATAACAATTATTATTATTATTATTATTATTATTATTTAGTTGTATAGTAAAGATAATAACGAAGATAAAACGCCTGTCACGAGTTAACATAATTTGGTTTACGGGTAGTTTTGACTAATTACAATGTTTCCAAAATAATTCAGAATTTCTGGGCGAATTGAGGTCAACATTTTTTTCGCTGCTAGTCGTTGGAGAGGAAGTCGGCTCGTGGTGCCCTGGGGAATCGGAAATTCCGTTACCGGTTTTGGAGGCAGGAGTGCAGACTCTCTCTCTCTCGATATCTCTAAGTCACGAAAGGGCTATAACTTTCCCGTTTCCCTTTACAATTGAAAAAATGACAGAATTTAACCAGATTACAAATTAGACTATTGTTAATGTTTTATGAAATTGTTAGTGCGATAAAAAGAGGGTTACTCGGTACGTCTTTCGCCTGCGAATATGAACGGTAAAAATCGGATAATTGAAAGTAAATAAGGTTGCTCCGCTAAGTTACCGTAGTTAATACTTCTATCGGTCATGTAATGTTGTTACTTGCTAACAGTGTAGCATGTATGCATGGGTTGTTTCCAACTACATGTAACAATTCTAGCATTTAATATTATTTTCGTTAACTCCGAGTTATTGTAGCATTATATCTCAGTGTAGCTGTTCCCAGTTAAACTTTTGCGTTTGCTGGTTTTTTCTGAAAATGCTTTTAGTTACTCGTGTATGGAATAATATTATTTTCCGGTCAGCGTGCATGTGCATGAATCATAGTTGGTCATTGTGCTGCAGCTATACGAGCAAACTTGCAGGTGATTAACTTATTTTTGGATGTGTACGTTGGCTCCTGCTTTATATACTTTCGAATCAACATGGAAAATTCCGAAGGAATGAAGGGGAAAAAAAATGATTAAGTAGTTAATGTATTAACGATAGTTTACCAACATTACACTAAGATACAATTTAATAAATGTTAATACGGAAATATATTTAAGTTATGTAGCCTAACTAAAAAAAATACAGTTTTTATAATAATATTATATATTACACTATTGAAAAATATTTCTACTCATTAATATTTAAAATCAGAATTTAAATAAAATGTAGTTATTTAGTTAATTTAAAAAATATTAAGACACGAAAAAAAAAAAATTTACATAAAAATTAATTCAACGTTATGGAAGTATACACATTTTTGTAGATTCTTGTATTAAGTTTTTATGTAATTAGTAAATCATGCAATTCAAATAAAAAGTATAACTACACTTATATGAATGATATCAACTGTTTATAAAACCCTCAAAATAGGAGCAAACAAAAATTTAATTACTTGCAAACAATGTTATACAGTTTAATTTTTAATAATCTATCTATAATACTTCAATTATTTAACATTTTCTTTAAAATTTCGATAGTAGTCATTAAATCAAAAACGTTACAACTGTTAGAGTAAATTTATCTCATAAATACGAAATATTTAAAAAAGATTATTTCCATTACTGCTTATAAAATATTAACAAATTTATCATCATACACTAATGAATTTTGAAAGATATTTATTTTATCTCCAATGCAGACCATGATAACTTGTATGTATTGATATATCCAAATAATTCTTACACTTGCTTATTAATTTTATATGCACACTTCTTGAAGTTACTTTAATACAAAAAATGTTAAATTCACCACAAAATATAGACAAAGTTAAAAATTTTTTAAATTAAAATTGGACGTAAGTTTTTAATTCATTTTTTAATTTATTTCTGAACTTGGCTTCTAACACATTTATTAAATGTAAAAAACATTTTTCTAGCAGTATACCTTTGGACGTTCACTGCACTCTCAATAGAAAAAATAAAATTTGCACTTGGTGCGCATATAACCAGGGTCATACCTTGCAGGTCACTCGGATCAAGTGTTTGCCCTGATGACGTACGTCACTAGATTAAAAAAAAACTAATATTTTTCTACATAGTATCGTTTATTGTTTTTCTAGTCTTGAAAATACGCGAGTGTTTGAAAAATGTTTCTGAAATCTTGGAATTAGAAGTTGACTTTCGTTAAAAAACTTTTCTAAAAAATGTATGTAGATGATCGGTCTTATCTCATAATTTCTTTGACTGATTCATATTAAACACAAGAAAAGGAAAATTAACGTATCAATATTTTTTTTCCAAATTTGATTAATTTTTTAAATTAAACTTTCCATAGAAAAATTGTTGAAGGCCTAATAGTTGAAAATGGATGTCAGTATTTGTGAATATACTAGTGAAAATACAATAATTATTGGTCATATCCTATGATCTAATGACCAATTATGATTAGCTTTAGTTTTTTACTATTTAGATACTTATCATTGGCATACAGGAAATGATTATGAAAGCATACATTTGTTTTGTTTTTATTTTAATTGTATCACTTTTAAGAAAGCTTTTCTCTGAAAATATTTTTCTTTTTTTCATTTGAATTACGATATTTCGTGTGGAATTCCACTAAAGTTTAATTATTGTTTTGGGTGTAAAATTTTAAAATCATGCCACTTTATTGGTGCTCGTTTAAAATTATGCAAATATTAGTCAATAAGAAATTATAATTAATCTTTATCTCTATGGTATATGGTGTCATTATTATTACTGTAACATGACTGACAAAATTGTATATTTTCCAAGTTTAACTAATTTACATGTTTCTTTAAAAAAGGTGATTTGAAACATGAATAAGAATACTTTGAGCCAATGAACGGACAAGGGTTTTTACAGTTCTTATCCATTTTTTATATCAACAAATAAAAATATTATCTTACCATGGGCGCAAAGTGTACCCATGGGCACCAAATACGACTTTGCGCCTTCGGAAAGAAAACGGACATTCGCATCTTTGACACAAACATAAAAAAACCCCGTCCTTTAGGAGAGATTTTTTTGCATGTACCCATCTTACGAAAACTATATTCTTCCCAGCTGATCTTAAATAAAAAGAAGACCAGAACAACTTTTTCAAAAAGGCTTCCGCCACTGAAATTCTAATTATCATTCGGGATGTTATTCTGGACCAATTATAATACTAAAAACTACAAGGTTCAACAGAATCATAACCAAAATCGAAAGAATTTCATCTCCCACTGACTGCGCTATCATAGATTTTACTCACGCAACAGCGCACCTTAAACAACTTTAAAGATAAATTTTAGAACTTACTGTTCGATCCACAGTGGATTTTCCGTGGTGTTCAACTCATCAATGATCTGCTTTTTTATAAGGCCATCCTTCTTGCGAATATCACTCGGCACAGTGATAACCCAATGTTTGAGACAACAGCAAACAGCAGTCACGGTAACAGCACCAATAAACAATACCACGAGCAAAGCAATGAGAGCGGCTAATGCAATGTCAAACGATTCTTCTTGAGCACCGACGTACGCAGGTACAACGTTCTCGATGGCAAATCCAGTGTAATATTCTTTCAAAAAATCGTATTTTGAATCAATGACTTTGAGAACTTGAGGAATGGGTGATATAGTCTGGGTTTTAAGATCCACAACGTGCAGGTACATATCACACCTGAAACAAAAAAGCAATGGGCGTTCCATAATTTTTTACATTAATCGTAATCTATGTAAGTTTGTTTATTTTAAAATAAATGAATTAATTAGAGAAACACGTAAGTATGAGGTCAATATTGTTTATAACATTTCTCAAGTTTGTGAAATTTTATATGGAAAGTTTACAAAGCAAATCAAATCACACTAACGGAAAACTACTATGCTTTTCGATATTTGAAACGGTAAGAACTGTCAAACAATATTATTTATGTCACACATTATTCAAACAGGGCTCAAGAATAATAAAATAGTGGCAAAGAGTACTTTAAACTATTCTGAAATGACAAAAATCAAACTTACAATTTGATTTTTGAAATATGAACTCACCACTCGTGACGAATATGGCCAGACAAATCGACATGAAAACGGATGTCATCAACTACTACACGACTTTGAGTGGCGTTTGATAACTCTAGTATAATTTCGTCCTTTTCTCGATTAACTTCTTCTGGTGGCCTTGAGAGTATAACCCTGATGAGCTGATTTGGTTCAAAGACCCAAACCTGTATAAAAACACCATTTTCCATACATTTTTAGTTATGAAGCTATGTTGAAAAAAAACAAGCAAATTTTTTTAAGTACAACAAAGTTTTGTAGGTATCTACTAAAAACCTAATTAGATAACTCAAATAGAAATTAAATGTTTTTCTTTTTTTTGTTCTTTTCAATTAGCTTAAATCTTCTTACAAGTACATAACACAGTTTTTTTGTTTGATGCCAATAACACAAATGGAAAAAACACTTGTATGGTTAAAATGTCCATAACCTTTTTTTCGTAGCTAAAATAAAAGAGGTTTTAACATTCATCTACAAGAAGGAAAGTCATAAACATCAGTCTTTGACTGCGATGTTTCGATACTTTTGGCCAAAATATTCGAAACAGTTACTTCTGTTTGGAATCAAAAAGTTTCAACTTTCTCCACCCATTTGTACCGGTGTCATCTAATAAAACAAAAGTAATTTATTCGCTAAGAGGTGCTTCTTTAACAAAAAAAGTCTATTCAATTTGACTATGTTTGGATGTTTGGAACTGTCGGAGACATACGCACGCCATACTTTACAAACACACAGCTGTATTCATCTTCAGAGGTACTCACGTGAACTTTAGCTACGGAAAATCTCTCTGGCGAAGCGATTTCCTTGGCCACGATCTCAACGATGAATCGATCCTGGTTGTATTCCGCCATATAGCCGCTGGTAACGAGTTTTCCATCTTGCGTGACATTGAACGGACTCGGCACGATCGAGCCACTCGGTTTGCTGGAGCCGTACTTGTAAAGATTGGCGCTAGCCACGTAATACTGGAGGGTCCCGTTTTTACCGAGATCCGGATCCGAAGCTGTCACCTTGGTCACCAGTTCGTTTATGTTAGCCATGGAATTGACCCCAGCAAAGTAGGCGCTCCTCTCGTAGCTCGGTGGATTATCGTTCTCGTCCAGTATTTTTATCGTGATGTTGACGTAGCCGTGCTCCGGGTTTTTGCGTCCGCGATCGCTATCCCGTGGATCGATGTAGAGGTCCGGGTCGTTGGCTGCGAGCACAGTCAAGAGATAACTCTCTCGTTTTTCCCGATCGAACGAGCAGTTTGTGTAAACGCTTCCGTCCGACTTGTCGATGTAGAAGGAATGATTTGCGTTTCCTGTGAAAATTAGTCATTTCCTTACTAAACTAACAACTTTGTATTTTTGTTATTTACTGGTTTGAATCCCATACGAAAATCCTAAAAATACATCTTCTGCTCACCAGACTTTATGTAGTAATAAACTTTGGCGTGCCTCCCTTCGTCTTTGTCTTCGGCAGTGACTTTTCCTACGTAGTAATCTTTCGGGCGGTTCTCTGGAACGTCAAAGTGGTAATCTTCGAAGAATTCGGGCACGTTGTCGTTCGTGTCGATCAAAATAACCGTCAGCAGACGAAGAGTCTCGTAAGCCGTTGGACTTCCATGATCTGCTGCCACGAGAACGAGCTGGAAAGTACGGGTTGAATCCAATCGAGTGTTACAACAGCATTCAGTACTGGCACTATTTTTATTACGGATCAAAAAAAAAAATGTCCCACTACCTACCTCGAATTTGCTCTTGGTTTCACGGTCGAGTATTATCTTCGAGCGGAGCTCTCCAGAATCTTGGTCGATTGAAAACTCTTCAGTTTCTTGGACGTTTCTGTTTCCGACTTTCATGTGGTAACTGACTTTGCCGTTATCCCCAGAATCTCGGTCAAGAGCTTTTACCGTCATGACTAAGTAGCTTGGTTCTCCTGCGTTCTAAAAATAATAATTATTGAAATTTACACCTCGTCCAATGACACGATCTTTTCGCGATACTGTTTCTCATTTGAACAGTAAGGTAAATGTCATGTTTGAAAAAATGTAGATGTATAGAAAATTGATGGATAATTGAGACATTCACCTTTCTATAAATTATATTACAACTTTTACAAAAAATTAATCAATGCCCAACAAAGCATTGGCCATTTTTATGTTTGAAACACCAACCGATGACAAATATTAGATGTTGGGAGATAAAGCGTGATCTCTAGAATAACGAACAAAAGTAATCGTATACCTCTGGAACTTCCACCGTCGCATTGGGTAACTCTGGCATGATGAACTCTGGCTTGTGCTGATTCACGGGGTTGACGCGAACGTAAATGTGGCAAGTGTCGGAGTGTGGTCCTCGGCCAGCCATGTCTCTCGCTTCCACCTTGATCTTGTAAGATTGAGCTCTTCCCAAGAGAGATACGGCTGGGTACAGAATTCCAGTTTCTGGGTTGAGACTGAATGAACCATTTTCATTGCCTTTTATTATTTTGTACCACACGTCTCCGTTAAGACCCTCATCGTGATCCATAGCTCGTACCTGTTCGAAACAACAGCTTGTATTAACAATTGTCTGATGATCCAATATTGAAAAGAATATTTTCAAGAAAAACTGATATAAGTTCAAGAAAAATTACAGAGCAGTAAAAAAAAAGGCAACGTGAACTGACTCGTGATTGGCTTTTTGGAGTAATGAATAGTCGCTGCACCGAGATGTCGTCGAAATACACGTAGGTGAAATAAGCATTTATCGTTTTTTACAACTAAAATAAAGTGCACTTTCGAAATTAAGGACCCCTCACTGTTGAAAAAAAAAAAGCTGATTTCTCATAAGAAATTGTCAGCTGATTTTCCAAAACTCATGTTGTGTTTGTTTTTAACTTTACATAATCAATTTTATAATATTCATACAATAATTAAGTTGCTAAAAAAACTACATACAACAGATGTTTGCTTGAAAAAATACCTGAAAGTACAAGTCCTGCATGTGAAAAACACCAATATTAATGACAAATTTTATACATTTTGGAAAATTATTAAACGAATATGTTATAATTGGTACTAATTTGATGAAAAAATTATGATAAGTTGTAGAAAGATTTTGTTACTATGTGAAAAAATATTTAAAAAATTATACAACGTCCATTTTAGCCTTCGAAACATCCCGATTTTGGTTGGTATGTATATGAGTTAAAACAATAAAATGTTCTACGTTTTCTATCACTTTTTTATTTGAAAAATGTTTTAACTGTACGCTTTCAGTTGATAAAAATTGCATACCTGCAGTATAGGAGCTGGTGGATTGACGGACAAGTTCTCAGCGACCGAAGCTCGATAACTGTGCTGTGTAAAAATAGGCCGGTTGTCGTTGACATCAACGAGTTTTATGACAACGGGTACCGATGTTGTCCTTCGCGAATTCACCGGTGCACTGTCGCTCGCCAAAACCGATATTGTTATCTCGGGTACGACTTCGCGATCCAGCACCGTTGCACCGCCGACTGTTATTTCTCCATTGTCGTGGCCTTAAATGAGCGACGGGGACATGGTAACAGTTGGTTCAACATCATGCGCATAAAAGCAGGAGTCACATAAACAACACCCAACTTCATGAGTGGTTCATCACGACAAAACAACAGTCAAACGTACCGATGTTGAAGTCAGCGGCATGCTCTCCAATCAGGCTGTAAGTGACTTCGCCGAAAGGACCTTCATCGGTATCCACAGCTTTCACCAGCGTGACGCGCGTACCAGGGGGTGAATTTTCCTTGACCGTGGCATTGTACGACTTCTTCTCGAACCTAGGATCCTCGTCGTTTACGTTGATTATCGTCACCGCGACCTTTGCACTCGACTTCAGCTGCGGGACTCCCGTGTCGTATGCAAACACAGTGAATTCCAGCTGTTTCGTCTCTTCAAAGTCGATAACTTGACTGGTTCGAACGATACCTGCAGAGTTTGTTTAAAATCTTCGTGAAATAAGTGAAATACTTGGGGAACCACGACTTATCAGAAAAATAGATGATACGAAATTATTTGATCATGTGAAAATCATAAAGGAGGAAAAAATGCTGACCAGTAATGTTATTTATGTGAAAGTAGGGGCTGGGTGGCTCGATGGTGTACGCCGCGATGTTATTATCCGCGTCAGTCGCCGTGAACGCCCCAACTATTGCTCCAGTTGGCTGCTCCTCTTGCATTTCTATCGAGTACCTTGGATCCTCCCTCGTCCATGGCCGAATGAATTCAGGAGCAAAATGATTCACCTCTATGATCGTCACAATCAGAGTACCTGCACATTCATGCGATTTTTTCATCAGACGAATTTTTAAAATAAATAAGCTTTCCGTTTCAACTATTGATTACAATGTAAAATTTTTTGGACCTGCAGTGCATGTAAAAAAAATTATATAGAATTAATACGCAGTAGTACGTTTTATGGGATACCACATATTTCGTAGATTAAAAATCCGTAGTATACAAAAACGATCTACCAGATCTTGATGAAATATTGTGGAAAAAAATAAGCGATTCAGCGTCCTAATAATGTGTGAACTGGACTGCTTCATATGTAAAATCAGTACACATAAGTATTGCTCATAGAAATACATGTTTTTGAACCCTAAAATTAATCGGCTATAATTGATTAAACAAATATTTGCAATAAACTGGTGGTTTGCCGTGTGTTGCTGCTCATCATGTAATATGATCGAGTCGTGCTTCTTATCATGAGAATATGATAGATGGGCAACTTTTTCGTCCAAGTGCTTCAGTTGTGCTTACTATCCTTGGACCATTTGTGCTATGCTTATTTTCATAATAGGCGTCGATATTTGTTACCGACAGTTATCCCAACACACGAGATCGCACACTGTGCACTTATATTTAATTTGATAAATAAGTCGCAGTTTTGCAACCATCATTAAGCTTTAAATTGGTTTATCATTAAAAACATAATTAGGTTGTAATTGTATATTAATTTTATGTTATCATTAAATTTCCTACATAAATAGTCTTTGTTAACCGTTAACCAATTGGGATTGTCGTGTTTCACGATTTGACGTTCTGATATTTGCATAGGAAGCGAGTAATGTGTGTGTGTGGTCGAACTTTGAACATTTTGGACGACCGTTGTATCAAGTATTTTACAGCGTCAAATGCTTTAAGTATGTAATAAATTGAGTTTCACAACCTATTTGATTCAGTTCATGAGATACACGTTGTAATTGAGTTTAAAAAATCTGAGAAAATCTAAACTTATAAGGTTAGCCCTATACACTTGCAGAATAGTCGTCTTCAATAAAAATGATTTAAAATATCATTGAATTACTTTGGGAGATAAAAAAAAAAAAAAATTAAACATCAAACGTATACAAACTTATCACGCTGGCTTCCTCCTACGCGTAAGCAAATAAATGATGCTACAACAATAAGAGAAAAAAAATACAGCGCACCTTTTCCCTGTTGCAGCGTCGGGGCTGAGGTATCGGTGACGACTACCGCCAAGCTGACTGTAGCCGCGACGTCTCGGTTCAACGGCTTAACCACTGAAACCTGGCCTGTCTTGCGATCGACGGCAAAAAAATCCTTGAATCCAGCACCACTCCCATTGACTCGCTGACCGTTTCTGTCGATCGCCGCGATCGGCTCGGAAAGCTTGAAGCTCAGGGCTTCGGGATCCGTGCTGTCGGGGTCCATGGCCTTCAAGGTCGCAAAGACTGTGCCGATCGCGGTGTCTTCCGTGACTTCAGCTCGCTGCACCTCTGGATTGAAATGGGGTGGCTTGTCGTTGCTGTTTTCGACGTTTATCATCAGCGTCGTCGTACCAGTTAAGCTTGGCGAGCCTGTGGGCACACAATTTTGCTTTGCGTTAGCATCCAACTGCTAAGATCTCAAGTATTAATTATCTTCGTAATTATTAAATTGATGACATCCAAGGGGTCTAGCCTTATGGAAAAATAAAACAATTTTAAATGTCGATGAACAACAATTTGTACTGAAAAATATGTTCCTTTCACCTTTGTCGAATGCTATGACTTCTACGTGATAGGTGTTTCGCTGATCGTAATCCAATTTGTGCGATACAAAAACAGCACCAGTGGTTTTGTTGACGGAGAAATCGTTGAACGCTCCCTTCTGAATTCTGTAGACTAGCTCGGCATTGATACCGCTGTCGGCGTCTGTCGCAGTAAGCTCCTCGACAATCGTTCCTGTAAGTACAATCACAATAAGCCCATGTTACAAACATCTGTGAAAAAATCTAATTGTCAATTTAATGGACAGCATGGTCAATTTGAAATTCGGAGAATTGACGAAAAACGGTATCTGTGGTGGAAGAGGGTTATTTGAACTATGCAAAATTAAATTTAACAAAGTTTTTATTCAACTAAAGTTGTACTAAAAAATTAAGCACACATTTTTAAATTTTTTTTATCAACTTAAGACACGGTATTTAACGCATTCAACTCAACTATTCATCGGATCAGCTTTAAAATCTAACGTGTACTCAGAATCAAATTTAGTCGAGTAAAGTATAGTGAAAATAAAAATCAAATCGTGAGCCCCTATAACATAAAACTCTGTATAAATTTGCTGAAAAGTGTTAGCTGCTACTGTAGAAATCTTAGCAACTTGTGTGGAAAAAAGTAAAAATAAAAAAATATAAAAAATACTACCAAAGGTATCAGCTCGAATAAGCGCTCCGAAATGTACCAATTCAAAGATGATGTAAGAAATTTGCTGAGTCGGTCAAACTCTTAATACTACACCCAGAGAAAGGTATATATATTATACATTGGGACAACATTGCTTCATTACGAGAAAAATTCAAACACTTGATTCCTACTAGCTAATAAGATTATCATTGATAGATTTTTATACTTGGTGCTTAACTAATTAAACTCTATTAATCTTATTAAATATGGCCGAGCGCTGAAATGGTACCAATCTGTCCAAGCTCGATAAACTGTCAAAAACAAAAAAAAGTGGAATCTCAATATTTTTTGCTATAGTTAATTGGGATCGGCTCCATATCACTAGCGCCACATCGCCACTGTCCTAGATTAATCTCCATAAAATGGCGAGTTTCAAAAATGGGTAGAGAAGGCTCGTGACTGTCAGCGCCACCAGCTTTTCCATCCTTACACATTGTGGTGGGATTCCGAAGTTTCGAGAGAAGGCGAGCCCAATTCAAAAAAAGTAACGAAAATTTTATTGGCTTAAATTATTGAAGATCTCTTTATTATCCACGAAAATTACTATTTTCGAGTGTTGATAGATTGGTACTATTTCCTACAACTTTTTGTAATGGGTAACTTTCTACCGACGATCAAAGGCAACGTAAAGGCCAATATGATATTGCACTTACCGATCGGCGAAATCTCGGGTATACTAGCCGTATAGAGATCGTGAGCGAAGGCAGGGGCGTTGTTGTTGACGTCCCGCACGTTGATCGTGACAACGGTCCGATCGCTGAAGTTGCCGTCGCTCGCTTGGACGAAAAGGACGACGGAGCCATTGGCAGCGTCGACGGGGGCGCGCTTCGCGAGACTCAACTCTCCCGAGTCCGAGTCGACAGCAAAGATCCCCAGCTCGTTGCCCCCAACGATGGAGTAACTTATTTTCGAAGTCTTGTCGCGGTCTCGCGCCTGCACTCGCAACGCCGGCTCGAACTTTTCCGCGCCCTCGTCTATCACCGCGCGGTAGCTTCTGTGCTGGAACTTGGGTGGGCTGTCGTTCGCGTCGGCCAAACTCAACCGCAGGGAGACGCTCGTCGTTTGTCCCTTGCCGAAGTCGTCCGTCGCCTGCCATAGAAAAAAAAGAAGACCCCCATGTGAGTCCACTTCTGACACCAATCTATTGGTTAGCAGGTGTATTACCTTATAGTTGAGGAAGTATTCGCTCTGTTCTTCGAAATCGAGGCAAGGAGACGTTCCTGGCGTCGGGCAGGGTGCTACGGAAATGCTTCCCGACTTTTTGTCCACCGAGAAATGTTCGTAGCCTTTGCCTATCAACTGGTATACTATTCCGGCTGCTCCGAAACTGTGATTGGCAAAATAGACGAAAGAAAGCTATGTCAGTTTTGAGACAATTGTTGGGGTACAGTAGAATTTTTTTTTTTTTTTTTTTTTTTTAATACAATGGTATCGAATACTCATCGTTAACTTGTTTAGTCAGAGAGTATAATATAACTCTGATGCGGATTTGACTTTTCTTTCACGGGGAAGACAAAATAGATTGGCTGTTGCATTAGTAGTACATTAAATCGAATATCTTCTTAGAATCAACATATATGTACATATGCGTAAAAATAAGGATTACTGTATGCATACAATTTTATATACACGTGGCTGAGTTTACAGTAACTGGCTCAGACAGCGTCCGGGGCTCGAGATGCAATTGAATGATACAAAGGTGGTTACCAGATATATCAGGTACACTTTGTACACTTGTTTTTTAAACAGTCTTACTATGACTATTAAACTTTTTTTACTTCGTATATAACACGTTGATATTAATCGTAATAAAATACTGTGTAACTTAACCGATAAAGTATGACGTTATAACTGTCATTTGCATATTACATTTTGTCCAATCCAATAAGAATACATAATTCAATAAAATTGTAACTGTAATTACATTTTTCACTACAAAAATGATTGTAGAAATTATTCTCCAACTGTTAATTATTTCTACAACCCTCAAATATCATTTGACTCACAACCACGTGATCTCCAATCACATGATGAATAAAAAACTTAATTCTTAATTATTCTCCATTTTAATAGAACTTATACCGTCGGGAACCGGTGAATATCGACATAATTTTTCAATCTAAAAGCGATATAAAAAAATATTCAAAAAGGCCAAAACTCTGTTTTCATTAAGTATAAACGCTGAAATCGAGCCCTGAAAATTAAACAAATTTTGTTTGACTGAGTGCCACCGAACAAAAATTATAGCAGCTTAAAGAAAAAAATATTTACAAAATCTTAGTTATTTCAAGCAATTTGCCATTTTTACCCACCACCCAGCTACACGAAATGAAACGAATTTTATTTTCAACCGATAAACCTTAATTCCAGCTTTCATTCAAGCTGAATTATAACACGTTAACTGCAAAAGGCATTTACTAAATGCGCACGATAAAAAAAAAAAAAAAAAAAAGTAAATAGTAAATATGAATTGTATTGAAAAGAAAAGTCATGCGAAAATCACTTTCCACGTTATTCCAACAAATTGAAAGTGAATTCTAAGTACAGGCGAGCATCAAAGGACCAATAGTCGAGAGCACTACACTATGTGTACGAAGTTTAAGCATTAATTAAGTATCATCTCGGACGATCCAGTGCTAATTAAGTTGACAAAGTAATTGACAAGAGGGAGAGATAGAGAGACAGGCAGGAAGGAAGGTACGCGCAAATGTATACCATATAGTAGAGGTCACTTAATTTGCTGGACTCACCGTCCACTGTCACGATCTCTGGCCGTGATCGTTGTTATTGGGGTGTTAGGCCCGGCAATTTCCGAGACCAGAGCCGTGTACGAGGGACTCAAGAACGAGGGCGCATTGTCATTAACATCCGTAATGCCGACTGTTACCGTAGCGGTGGAAGAAAGTCTTGGATTTGTGTGAACTTCCTCGGCCACCACCTGGAAAATCCAAGATGAATTTATTCCTCCTCCTATACCCATCTGTTAATATTTCCATGTCCTCGCTCCTTCGTCTCTTCCCCTTTCACGACTATTTACTTTTTTCTTCTTTCATCATTTACCTGGATTTATACGCTTTTAAAAGTACTACCTGCTGTACAAAAGTCGCTTATTACTTTCGTTTGTACAACTGTTTTAATCAGCGAAGCTCAAATAAGCAGAAAAAAGGGACTGAAAGGTGCACTCGAAAGATAAACTTGTACACAGGTATTCCTTTGTTAAAGATAACGAGGAATTCCTTGAAAGGAGCGAAGGAAGCAAGTATAAATACTTTTTCTCGGCTGTACTTCGTTTAAATAAATGATACGTTTCTTTTAGGTTTCGCGTTATTATTATAACTCCGATTATAGATACACATCTACTGACATTTTTTATCAACTAAATACAAAACCTTCAAAAATTTTATTGAAAACGTTTTCAAAGTATAAAAAAATAAAGTAAATTAAAAAAAAAAAAGTGTTTACAATAAAATTGAAAAAAAATACCGAAATTTATGCTGTAAAAAATTTGATTTTTTTTATTTAAATCTTCAACAAACTGTATTTATGATTAGGATTTAGGTGTGGATGCCAATGCGGATGACAAGTCGGTTTTACTAATTGCGAACCAGAGAAAATCATATTCCATATGATAAAAAATGGTGCCTTCCAAAGTAAAAATTACTAAAAATTATTTTTTATGAATGGCTGATTTATTGACTAGCCTCATCCCAGTTTAACTGAATGTACACTCTTAGGTGGTGGAGAAGATCATAATATTCTTTAAATATGAAAAGAAAATGATACCCTCCAAATATGTTCATTATCGGGATAAAATAAAACAAATACGTACCATTGTAGGCAAGCTTAAAAAAGTTACGGTATTTTTTGGATATTTAAAAAACATCTGTTCGTTTTTAAACATTAAAAAATATTCCAAATTTTGTCAACACGAATATTTTAAGTATCATACCTCGTACAATGTTGTTACTTTAAGTTAGCTACAACTTAAAAATCGTTTTTTCCAATTAAAAATATCAATCATAGCTGCAAATTGTTCTGTAATTAATTTAAGTTAACTGCTACGTTAAGCATTTAAAAACTTCAAAACTTGGATCAATGGCAACCTCTGGAGTAATTTTTTATTGGTGGTGGGAGGGGGTGAAGCATGAAGACAAATTAAAGAATAGGAAAGTATAGAAAATAGCTTACTAATATTTCATTTCAAGTGATGAAATTTGACAGGATCAGAGTTTCACATGATGATAAAAAAGTATTGAGAATATAATATCATACGTACCAGAATGATGAATTTTCTCTGATTGGGATTCTCGTAGTCCAATGAGCCATTAGTCACTCGGATGTTCACCGAAGTGCTGCCTGTTGCTTGGGTCGGTTCGACGGTAAAAGCCCCAGTGATATCCTCCAGCCGCAGAGAGAATACCGAATTCAAGCCCTGTCGAATGAAATCATATTATCTGTTTCGTGCTCGCTCGTACCTTTTGCAAATCGTGTATTCTTTCACTCGACTGTATATCTACATATATTTCACGATTGGCCCCGAACTTTTTTAGTATTCAAATTTTCTCCAACAATGGCACAATTTACCTGCCCCTCCCCCTGCGCTTCATTTTCGTAACGAGACAGCCTTTACTTTACTCGGCAATTAAAACTGTGTTCACGTTTCGTACTGGCAGTGGCAATCAATGAAGCATGAATAATTAAAAATCCAATAAACAGATGTAGCTCTTATTTGATGAGCGAATATCGGTGTAATACCAATTCCAAAATTTTACTTTATGCAACTTTTTTTAAAACCATATACATTTATGAATAATATTTAACAAGGAATTTCGTTGTAATCAAGTCTGATAACGAGTTCGATCGCAAAAAATCGTGATATAAATCATATCGATATAATCCCATCGCTGTTATATTACTTTTAAAAAGAAAATCCAATTTTACTCGGTAAGTTAAACTCACTCTGTTTACTAACTTTTAAAATTTATTGTTACTTTCAGCTCATTACGTAGATTAATTATGAAATATCAAAGGTTTTTATAATTAAATTTAAAAAATACATCTAAAATAGATTGAGTCCACAAAAAATATAATTACGAAAAAAATGAGGAAATTTTGTGTCATTGTTTATAAAAATAGTACCAAGGTCACTTTAAAAACATAATTCAACCTTAATGAGATCCAAAAGGTCTACTTTTATCATAATTTATTTAACTGAAGTACCTACTAATCGTAACTGATTATTTATGTAAAGACCGATGCAAAATCAACAAAACCTAAGATCATATCTTCACAAAAGCTTTATTTATTGTTATACAAAGTTTGGAGTTTATAATATAATATATCAAAAAGAGCTTGCACTGAAACAAAAAGAAGCTTTTGGAACAAGAATAAATTTTTCAAGTTGTTAACTGATTCACTCAAAACTCCAAACTATGTGCGATGTAAATCATTATACTTTTGACAAGTGCATGCGACCTTAGGTTTTGATTATTTCAAGTTTACCTGTAAAGAAATGAATAGAAAAATATAGTTTACTGATTTAACGAACTCTAATAAACCACTGTGGTAAAAGTAGACCTTTTGACGAAGTTAGAACCGCCATCAACCATCCGATTCTGTGCGGACAAATATTTGTTCAAGAGGTGAGTTTATTCTCTTTATTCTCGTTTACCTCGGTATTTTTCGAATATCTCTCAATCCGACTTTAATGAGGGAAAGACAATGAAAGGGTACATAAATAGCTCCTTCTATACACGCAAAAATCCGACTGCAACACGGAAAAATTTTTTTGTTCAATAAACGGACAGTAACTCACATGTTGCAGATTGTTGTCACAAACCCAATACTGTACAAACGAAAGTTTATTTTTTGTACCAAAATTACATAAATTTTTGTATGCAAACAATACTTAACCATACACTTTTTTTTCCAATGCTGGATACACTTTTAAGTTGGTAGGGGTCCGATCCTACACATATATATAGCAATCCTACACATTGTGCCTATAAATCAAGTTTGCACAATTGTATTTCTATACACTGAACAACTTTTGTTTGTGCATAGACACGTACGCGCTCTACACATATGCAAAGTTTAGTTTGCGTTTCGGAAAAAAAAGAAAACGTGAAACGAATGAGTACAGAGGAAACTGAATGGAAGTAGGGACGTGATCTTAAAACCACGTAGACTTACGACGTCGGGGTCCCGCACCATCATGTCGAGGTGGGGCAGGGGCGTGCCGTCGGCGATGTTCTCCGGTATGGAGATGCCGTACTCCCTGCGATTGAACGAGGGCGGCTCGTCGTTGACATCCTTGATAGTGACGGTCGCCTCCGCATCGGTAACGGTCGACCTGTCGCCACCCGGCTGGCCATCCACCACCTCCCGGGCCCTCACCCCGAAGGTCAGGACGCCCGTCGAGTTCTCCAGAGCCTCGCGGTCCAGGGGCTTCGCCGTCCGCAACTCACCGCTCGTCCCGTCCAGCAGGAAGTAGTCGAAGGGATCTGCTCCCATGGAAGAAAAAGAGGAGGGGGGGGATTAAAGTTTCGAAGAGCCACCAGCCTGCCTGATTAAACGGATTTCACGGGCTGTCTGCTCGCTCGACTCGAGCGTTACCATACAAGTCCACTCTGAGAAAATCTTAATGCAGAAGTCGTCGGCTTCTTCACCGGCGCTGATGGGCAAAGTTTATGGCTGGGAGCTTTATAGCAAGGGTACAGCAGCCCTGTGGCTGGCTTGGGGTAAAAAATTGCGCCCTCCCTCTCTTGTTCTCGAACGCGAGTACTTTATCGGGGGTGGGGAGGGGGGGAGTTGAGATTTAATCAAGATATGGGGCCCGTTCCCCTCCCTCTCTCCTTCTAGGATTAATTAACGTGACATTGAATCGCTCCAAAGTTACTTGCACCTCGAAGGCTGCTCGACCGAGAAACTCGCAGCGTTCGACGGGAATATTCGTGCCCGATGGAAGTGCAGGGATAATAATGATGATAACAATAATAATTGCTTTGCATGCATTACTTCAAAATTATCACCGCAAATGTTTGTGATGAAGATTTCCTTGGCGTGGCAAAATAGAGGCGCGTAAATCAGTGACTGTTGAAAGATACACGCTATTTTTTTAATCCTTGATGTACAAGTGCATTCTGAACTTCTATGTATCCGATAACTCGAAAATGAGTAAAGGAAATCTCTCGTTTAGTCGTGTAAAAGTCACTGAAAAACACAGCTAGAGAAAAATTTATTTTTATTTCACTAAAAACAATCAGGACAAGAGATAAAAAGTAGCAAATAGACAATCGTGTTGTAATACACTTAGGTATCTAAAAGAGCATGAAATACGCAATTTTTATTACAATTTTGTTTTCTTCATCTACTCTGGTGCTTTTTTCAAAATAACCGAGATAAATTTTTGTATTTCACTAGTAGAGTATACCTGGACAGTTTTTATAGGAAAAAACTAATACCATTTGTCTACGACAGAATATCACACTGTTACAACAAAAAATCACTTGTTTGTTTGATACGACTAAAGTTTCACAATAAAAATTTAGATCATATATTTAAATGTTGACCTGCCGAGTTCAAATTTTTTTTTTCTGATGTTACATACGTATATTATTGTGCAATAAAATTAATCTTTACAGATGTCTAGCTATACCCTCTATTTTTTAAGTGTCTGAATTTACCATCTTTCGCCTAATAACAAGAATTTTTTTCCTCATTTTATGAGCTATCAGATATTCAAGCATTACAAGTGATAACTAATTCACACAAGAGTATAAGTCAGAAAGCGTACATGGCAACGAAATTTTCTTGTTTAAGAAGTGTGAGAGAGGATGAGTATGTATTATATTACAAATCAATTGCGAGCCCTGTGCATTGTATGATTATAATTACAAATTTTTGTTTTGTTTGATAGAGGATGTACCGAAAGCAGATTATTCGTTCGGGCACAGCGAAAAGGCACTACAATGAAGGGAAACATGCTTTGTTTAATTATTAAATTAGTAATTTTAGTCTGATTGAATCAGTCTTCAACAGCTTAAGAGATTTGCTCACAAAAACATAGCGATATTTAGATTTAAACGATCAGGGGCCTTTGTCACGACTGTCGATGTCTCGCTTAGGTAAGCACTTTTTTCGATGATTTCTACAAAATAGAAAATAGTGGTTGAGAGCACGCGCAGTCGTAAGATTATCGAAAAACTGCTTACCTAAGCAAGATATCGAAAGTCGCGATCAGAGTACCCCAGGCACCTGCCCGCATACGACGGAATCAAGGAGGACAGAGAAAATGACGTTCGATCAATCGAAGCCGTCTCTTACTTGTGGCCAGCTCATAGACAATTTTCCGCGGCATCCCGCGATCACCGTCCCTCGCCTTGACCGTCATGACTAGAGTACCAATCGGGTCATCCTCCTTGACGACCCCGGTCAGCGAGTCCAAAAATTCGGGTGGGCTGTTCTGGATGTCGGCGACTTTGATCTCCACTCCCGTCGTATTGGTGTTTGTACCATCCTGCGGCATGCAACGATCATTATAATAAATACAGGAGGTTTTTCGTGTCCATCAATGGGCCATTAGGATATTGCGTTGGACTCGGAGTCGGGGAAAAACAAAAAAGCGCGATGGTAAAAGCACTCACGCTCGCTTGGAGAAGGAGCTGGTAAAAGGGTCGCTCTTTGTAGTCGAGCGGCTGGCGCAGAACGAGGGCTCCGATGTAGGTGTCTTGGCTGCCTTCGACACTGACGATGCTGAATTTCGAGCAGGCATCTGGAAACTGTAATGGCCAAAGAGATGCGCGTGATGTATCTTCTGACTAACAGAGGCTTTACGAACTTTTGGAAAGCGCACAAGTTCAGTGTTCAGAATATTATGGGCAATGTAAAGGATTCATTGCAGGTAAGTACACTGAGAGACAAATATAATAAAAATTACTGTGCTAAAATGGTATTCTGGTACTATTCGGTAGTCTGGAGACTTTTTACTATTGGAACAATAATTTTTAGTGTTTAGAAGAGTAATTTTTGTTGCAAGTATAGTGATTTTTACTGTTTGTATACAATAGAAATCTCTGTCCGAAATATCAATAATTAGATTGGCCAAAGTAAAAAGTCTCTATAGATGGCGAAATGACACCAGGTTACCATTCCAGCACAGTAATTTTTATTACATTTTTCTCTTAGTGTACGAAGGCTTTGTGTAAGTCGATGGGGGGAGGGCCAATGTTGCGCGATGGCTTTGAATTTTTTTTTTTTCAATATACCATGACCACTATAGGCTTTCACAAAAAAATATAAACGGGTCGGATGACTTTGCATCGTTTACTGGTGAAAAAAACAATGTTTGAGGATATTCCAATTTAACACGAAACTTGATGAAACGAGAAATAATAAAAATCGCTTAACTTTAAACAGTCTGTGTCAAATACGTTAAAATTCAATATTTATTGGTCATTACAAACGGTTAATTTGTATTTTGACGATCTCATGCAAATAGTGCTTTGTATAGGCAAAGTGTTTTACATCACATTATGTGTGCAATAAATTTGGTGTGTTCTTCTTTAAGTTTTAAGTCCAATACAGAAATGTATTACAAGATTGATAGATATATTATAAGGATACATTTATTTTTGTACCAAAACATAAAGATCTTATCAAGAGTTCTTAAAGATGTCAATCAAATAACTTTTTTTTTTTAATTTATTTCCTCAAACATTTTGTAACGTTGAATATATTATTACTTTTTACACAACCGTTAAATTAAAAAGTTACGATTCTGGTGATTATATTGCTAATTTTAGTTGATTTTCAATAAAAGTTAGAACGTGACTAATAGTTGAAGGCAAAAGTTTAGTATTGATGTGCATAAATAAGTCAAGTAAACATAGCCTTTTTATAAAATGGTTTGACGATGAGTAATACTTAGAGATGGATGAATTTATTTTTAAATTATTCACTTACTTATTCACTATTTACAAGGTAAAGTGGAAACAAGCAACAGAAGATTCCAAAACATTTCATGAAATTTATCTGTTTTCGTTACATATTTTATATACATATGCTGGATAGTGGTTGTTCAGTATAAGCTATATCGTTCATACAAAGTTAATGAAAATGTTTTATAAAAGAACTAACGTATGAAAATCCGTAGGTGTATTTTACAAATCTCAAGGTTGTAAATAGCACGTAAAGTAATTATGTGATGTAAAAACATGCGTGTTAATTAAATATTACCCAATAAAGTATATGAGCTGTGGAAAAAACCAACCATTACATTTCAGTCGAAAAATCACGAAACATAAATACTTTTACCGAAATTTTTGTTGTTTGTGCGACAGTCACGCCAGAGTCGTCTAGAACGTCGAAAAATATTGATTAAAAAGAATTACACCTACACCTTGTTAAAAATTCCAACTTTGGTGAAATTGTATGAAATATAAATTAATTGACCAAGTCAGCATGCACACGCTCGAGGAAGAATCACGAGAATGTACATAGTATATACGTGAATGAGCCTCAAGGCTATCGACGACGCGCACTAACCTGGGGCTGCGGTATGCAGGTGACTTTGATGTTCTCGCCGAGGAGGTCGGGATCGGTGACCCGCACGGCAGGCAGGATGGTCGTGCCGGGAGGGGCGTCCTCCCCGACGACCGCCTCGTAAGGCACGCCAATGAACTGCGGCGGGTTGTCGTTCTCGTCGAGCACGATCACGTAAGCCTCGACCCCGACGATGTTCGGCTGCTGGCCCAGCGGCACCGAGTCCTCCAGGGTCACCCGGAACCTTATCGTGTCCAATTCCTGTTGGTACACAAAGTTGAAAAAAACTTTTGCCTCGTTCAGCTTCGCTGTTTGCCTCGACTTTGGTCGAACGATTGTCTTACTCGGGGACAAAGTACCTAGCCGTGGGCTAAATCGAAGCAAGAGTCAATACGCGCCCAGTAGGATCATCAGTGTATGTTCGAAAAATAATATTTAAAAAAAACTAAAACCAAAGCAGTGAGATGGATTTCTTCATTTTTTTGGATCGTAAAATTAAGTTTGTGAAAATGACGGAAAAATGCGTTTAATTAATTTTCATCGGTTCATTCAAAACTATTCTTTTTTTTAAAATAGGATCATAATACGTCAATTTCATGTAAGTGGTCACTTTCAATAAGTTCCATTCTCGAGTTGACATTGAATTAATTAATTAAACAACTGACACTAGATTTTACTTCATAGTAATATAAAAAGGTTATTTTTGTATTTAACATTGTAAGTACTTACACAGTAGACAGTACTATTTAAAATATCAGTTAACATTCCGATTACATTTAACTTGATATTACGTAAAATGAGAGGACATTAAATTATTTTTAAACAAAGTCTCACTACATTATGTATGATTGACATGACAAATTAAATTGAAACATAACACTTATTTAATTTCTTAGAACTACTTTTTGATACTTTTATTTGTAATATTATACACCTTCGTATGGAATGGTTTACATGATTTTTCAGAATAATTGATGAAAAGATAAAATTTATATTTTTACTAGAATTGACTTTTGAGATGGACTTTACGGCAACAACCCCATTAATACTCATCACTGTATACAACGAACTGCACAAAAACGATATTTATAATTATTGAATCGTGGGTGTAAATATTTTTTCGAAATGTCAACGCCCAAGCTTTTTCATCACTACTAATTTAAAAGGGGCATGGAAGCATACCAATGAAAGTTCCTCAGAAAACTGTCTCATGGATACAGTCTTTAATGGAAAACACACACTCAAATTATTTGGAGACTGGCACAAGTAGTGAATATTCGTGAGGAGTATAAAAGATATCGATTACGCAAAAAGTTAGAGAGAATGAAAAAGAATGGAAACCCGAGGGCTGGGAAAGAAGAGCCGAGGAAAAGCTCGACGAGGGGATCCGTTTTCAAGTGAGGTATCGAAAATGTCTTATTCGTCGCGGGTATTATCACGACTCTGTCGATCTTTCGCGAGAGTAAGCCCGAGCTCCATCCCACGATGAGAATAAAAAATTTCCGCTCCAGGATACAGGAGAAAATCGAATTGAGCCGGACGAGCGAGTGCAGGTATTCGGGTGGATCTGCATTTCGTGCGTGTATGTAATTTCATGCAGAAGCGAATGTATATCGAGTACAACAAAGGAAACTCCATAATGTGTGACAATGGCGTATTGTACAGTGAGACGGGGGGAGAGTGGCATAGCTCCAGCTTATTGCATGACTCGCTGGGCCACATCGTCTCTGATGCCGATGTCGAATCGCGCACCCAACATCGGAAGCACGTCAACCGCAGGCGCACAGTCGCCGCAGAGACCCAACCCTCTCTCTCTCTCTCTCTTGTGTGTGATCTTATCTGGATCGCCTGTGTATGTACCACCAGTACTTAAGTATAGTACTTGCAAGGAAATGAAAGTTAAAAAGCAAGAGTTGGTCGAGTTATCCGGTCGGCATGAGGAGATGTATGGCAAAATGCATGAATGCATGCATGAAGGGAAATAAATGAATGCGACGCGACAGTGACAAAGTAAGAAAAATATTAATCCCTTGTTTGTTTGTTCGCAGCATTCACGCTTTTGCGATAAAAGAGTTAAGTACTCGTGTATAGTTGGTACAACTTTTAGCATCTACAGCTTTTTGAGGTAGCGGCTGTGTCGAATTTCGAAAGAAGATCTTAAAAACACACTCATCAGTCGTGCAACAAATTTTGAGCTAAATATAACATTTAAGCATTACAAATGGACCAAAATACTTTTTAACATTGAGCGAAACATTATTACGTCGTAGGAAAAGAATGAGAAATATCTTTTGGGATAGATCATTTGCATGCATATGTATGTAGACTGAGTAAGAATTTTTTATGCGTAAAGTTTGATGGAATATATTTTACAGAAATTCGATTTCAAATATGCTGTTATGAAAAAAAAAAATCTATCATTTTTTAAATACAAAAAGATTATGATTTATACGAGTGGAAAGAAAAATACCAGGTTTTTAAATTTACACTGACCTATCCTTATACCAACTAATCACAATGAACTGTTCAAATTTAAAATATAAATTGTACACTAGGACTTTTTTAATAGTCTGCCAGTATTGGAAAAATTAAAATCATTTGAGAAACCCAATGATGTGCATGACATACAAATCAAGTACCACGAAATACCCTAGCATACAATTACGGTAGTTACATCGTTGTCCGAATTCAATATTCCTTTCATGAGAAGAGCACCCGAGTAATTGTAATTACCTCTCGGTCCAGTGGTTTGGCCAGTGTCACGACTCCGCTCCGTTGATCCACGACGAACTTGTCAGTTAACTGTATTCCGTACTTAACGGGTGATCCCTCCGGGTCGTGTCCCTTTAGGGTGTAAACTTTCGTGCCAACAACTGTGGTTTCGGAAAGCGTCAGTCCCATCGGGTATCCACCAGCCTCAAAAGTCGGCGGTTCGTTCACATTGTTACCAGCTGAAACAGTTAACGTAAGAATTTATGAAAAAAAGATATATGTGCCGACTAGCAGCCCCCCGTCTCGGCTTCGACCGAGAATTACTAAATAAAACACCGTAGTGTGTTGACATGTAATGTGAAACGTTTTCAGTTAGAAATTTTACACATATTCCTGATACATCTCAGAACAAAAATCTTCTTATTAAAAACATATTTTTTCGGAATCCATATAGCTTATTTGGTCAAATAATAAGGTGTGAAAATTCAAAAAAAATAATTATGCTAAAAAGTACCGTGCATTCTTTATGCCATAAAATAATCGGTGGCCATAAGAAGCCGTTGATTTACAGTTTCTCCCGTGTAATTCACGAAAACGGCTATTTTTTAAAGCTGTTAAGATTTTAAACCCCCAAAAAATTTATATTAAAAAAAAATTTTTTTTCTCATATCTCACAACTTTATTACCAGAGCAACAAAGTCCTGGACCTTAAACCCTACATTTTTATTGCCACAAAAACACAAATACATTTTCTACTCATTAAAAAATCTGAAGTAGGATCTTTAAAGATTTCAGAGATTGCTGTGAGGGTACAATGAAAAGCTGATCTCTCACGTAATGGACTCTTTAGTTGTCGATTTTGACGCTGCTGTTTCAATCTCGATAAATTTTCTGCGTCAGTTTCTTGACGCCTAAGTAAAATTGTATTTATTAGATACACTTGAAGTTTTTCTTCCAATTCACCCTCTTGCGACTTTTGGCATGCTTAAAATTTTTGTGACCCCTAAAGGCTGTTTTCTGTCAACTTTGTTAAGTTCTAATATATTTGTTGGCAAGGTAGTTCGACGTCCGATGGCCCTAAAAAAGACCGGTGAGCTTCTTAAGTTAACTCTTTCTTGACTGCAGTTAACAGCAATTGTGACTGCCTGGATACCTCAGGGTGATCTTCTCTGGCTTGCTGTTGAAGACCCAGACTGATTGGGAGAAAAATTACAAAGTCCGAAGCTTTGGGGCTAGTTGTAGTGCTCTTTCCCAACGTCTCCCGGTATAACGTCGAAGACGTTGGTGTCTAAAGCACCTTTTTTATTTGCAGATTCAGTTGTTTTGGTGATCTTAGATGGGGAGATTGGTTAGTGATACTTGTCCAGTGGAGGCTGTCCCGTTGGCTCAAGTTTTTTTTTCCTTCATAGCTGTTATAGGTTTGCCCAGCGCAGACCTTGGAGAGGATCAGTGATTTCTGGTTAAATGCTTAGAGTCGAGAGGGTAGTATAGGGTCGTCGGTCACCGGGTTTTCCAGCCTTGCGAAGAACAACTCCGCAGGTGACGTCTGCCAGTGAATAGCTGACTTGGTGTAATAGTGCCCGTCTTTAGTTAATATAGTCTTTTAGTTGACGAATCGCTTCCGGAAATGGTAATAAAAATGTAGTTGTTGGCAAGGTAGTTTACATTTAGGTGGATCCTAAAAAGAACCGATGAAATTGATGGTTAAGTAGGGAACGCCAATACTTATAATGGCCCTAAAAAGCGCCAGTGGTGAAACTTCCAGGCTATTCTTCATTATTATTCCTGATGATGAAGAGCTGGCTACGGGTTGCTTGGTTCTTACCCTGGGAGTCTCAATTTACGGAGACTGTGATGGAAGGAGGTACGCCGCTGACCAAAGAATATCTCGTCATTGTCGTCTTGGGTCGTCCCCCGGATAACCAACCGCTCATCGTTAGATGTGGGTAAGCGCGTTGGGGACGCGACGACTAAGAAGGTAGCAGTTGTGGCTGCCCGTGCTGCTCCTCAGAGCTGTTTTCCCTGGCTTACATTTGTAGCCAAAAATTCTCCTACTGTACCAGGTGGGATGGTGGAACTCCCTCACATCTCTGAAGAGTTGGTGCAGATTGTGCTCTGGCTAGATATGTCTCCTGATATTGTGGCAGAGACGACATCGGTTGGAATAATTAATTTTTTTTGATCGCACTCTCCGAGGTTCAGGGTGAATTGACACCTAGGTCCCTTCCCCCTTGGATAAGAGTGTCGTCCGTAACCAGGATACCCAGCTGCAAGACTGTCATCATCATTCCTTTATTATACAGCTCGTTGAACTTCCAAAGCTCATCTACATCTTTCTCGAGACGCTCCGGCGTATTATAACCACTCTTATTTAATTCTGTTGCAGGTAGCCTCGATTTTATGTCGACGCCACCTAGCGGATTTCACTGAACTAAAGTGAAAAGCTGGCGTATTTTTGCAAAACTTTGAGCTCATTTATTGCTATTGTTATTAAATTTTTTAAGATAAAAACTATACTAAAACCATCTAGGAAGTATCATGAATCAGTGTGCAAAATTTCAACAAAATCGGTTCAGTAGTTTTCGCGGTTAGCGATTACAACGGTTTTAGCGTTCTTGCTTTATATATTAGTAAGATAAGATATTAGTAAGATAAGATTTATTGGTCAATATGGAATAGTTTTTTTTTTTTCAAGAATTTTTACAGCATCCATTGTAGGATTCTTCATATCATAAGGTTTTAGGATCATCTTAATTTTATACAAATGTGTTCGATTCTACTGACTTCATTCACGCCTTTGCATCCAGTTTTTAAATGCAGATGGATAAGTAAGTACAGTCAATTCAAATATCTGAAAATAACAGAAATTAAATCGCTCAGTTCGTTGGAATCGCTTTTTTTAATGCATTTAGTACAGTGATGGTCAAATCAATATTTGAGAAATCCACACGGCCCACTTGTTTGACCAACCGTATATCGAACAAATATTTTCTAAATCCTCAAAGAGGCTATAAAATGCGAATCATTTTTTTCACAGATTTAACTCTAATATTAGTATTTCAGCTTTCCTTTTTCCTGTTCAAAATTATTTGACTTGATAGGGGTTTTTTTAATAACAAACAAAATATCAATTTAGTCACTAATTGTTTATGTTGACACGGCGCATTTTGTAAAAGTTCTCGAAATATAAATTACATAACAAAACTCGAAGTGTTTGCTTCGATGGGCATATATTTTTTTACTCGCAACAAATTATGAATTGCATTAGTGTGCATATAAAATATTATAATTATAATAAATACATGTAGATGATTGTGAGACTAATTATGATAGTTTATATTTTTAAACAAATATTTGAGACTACCTATTCTGAAATTGATTGACGCGTTCGAATAAAATTAACTAATAAAAAATAAAAAAGTCATCTAATCATTTCCGAAAAGTCCCAACATCTTTGAAACCGGTTGAGTAAAATTTTTTTAACCTAAATATGAGCCAAAATATTTTCTACTATTTCTGCTCTGCTTTTGTACACGAATGTGAAAAGTATAAAAATCTCCAGACTTTTCACTGATCGTAGATACTTAGTACACCTGTAGCTTTGATGTACTTATTGAGTGGTATAATACTAGCAACTCTATGTATTGTATAGTGTGTTTATCGTATAGGTCCACCAATAGAATAATTTGGTTAATTGTTTAAAAATTATGATTATATCTGAGATGTAAATACATTGGAAAATTCAAGGCCATCACACAAGATAAGGTCAACAAGGATAAGCGAGATTTCTATAGTTTTGACTCTCTATTTCAGCAGTTGCATCTTTGAGCAATTTTTTCTTAGATTATTACTCTACGCTTCTATTGCTTCAAACCTATCTTTTCGTGGAACGAAACTTTCTTCTCCCGGTGCAGGATTGGTGAAAAATCATATACAACCCACGGAAGGAAACAAAGAATCCCTCAGATCGCATTATCGTCAATTTCCTGCGATCTGATACATTCATTATTTTCCCTCCCTACAAGGTGCGTAATATACTATTCCGGTGTGTAGAAATAGTAGTTTTCCTACGAGTTTGAAAAGTCTCCATTTGCGAACCGAGAGGTTTGCGGCCCGAGCCGAAGGCGAGGGACGTAACGAGATTCGTAAAGGAGACTTTTCGAACGAGTTCCGGAAAACTACTATTCCACACACCTTTCCCGCACACTATGCGGGAAAATCGATTTTCCACACTAAAAATAGTGCGGAAAACACCTATTTTGCCACCCCTGGACCCCGCACAACCTTTCTTGCGAATTATCAACTTATTTACTATTTTCCTCACAATTATTGCGAAAAATCTTGTACGCAACTCGTGCGGGATGATTTCCCAACTTACCAGCCACGAGTCTTTTTCGCACTTGTTACGTAAATAACTATAAATCACAATTATTCTACCTGAAAATATTTCAATTAAAAACTTTAAATACATACTACTGGATGGGAAAAATTAGTTATTTTACTTGAAGTACAGTACAATATTCATTAGTCATAAAAGTAGTTGATAAATGTTTTATTTCAATTACCTTGACTAATTATTAGAGTAATTAATGATTTTTAACTGTACTATTTAAATACATACATGAATTAATTTTAATTACTTCGATAAATAGATCAGGAAACGGTAAAAAAAAGGTTCCCGGAACCTTTGGCGTGATTTGGCGTGAAAAAGGTGTTTAAACGTTTAAAGCGATTTTAAAGTTAAGAAATTGTAAGTAATGTTTTTGATAAGTGACAACCCGGTAATTCTAACGGTGTCCTAATTTACCTTCCTAACCGTGGAAATTTTCAAGATTTTTGTTTTCAAAGTTTACAAACTACACACAACCTCCTATGGAGAAACGTGAAAATATTTTCATTTTGTAACCGTAATCAACAAGTTAAACATCAAGATAGCGACTGTTTTACAAACAAAACCCTCAGCTTTCAGATTGTACCTCGCAATATGTGGTAACCGTGAAAAAATTCAAGGTATTCAGCATAGCAATGATCGAGTCGTGAGCTCAAGTCATTTCATTTTCATGTCATTGAAGTAAATAAACTGATACCAAAAAAAAACGAATTTCCTATTTAAAAAAATGTTCCAGTCCAAGTTCCAGAGACACCGAAGATAAATAAAAATCCAGAAAATCTTACTATTAATATAACTTTGTTGTTGAAATGAAACTAATAAGAAACTAACACAAGCTAATCATAAGAT